AAAGTGAGGTCCCAACCTCATCCAGCAATGAAGAAAGCTGAGTTACCATCAGGAAAGCCAATATGACAAGCTTCTGCATGAGGCTGAGCAGTGTACCATCTTTCCCTCCAGACCCATGAAGAGATGCTCAACATGAGGACCAGAGCTCCTCCAAAATGAACTATAGTTATTCTCAGCAACAATGAGGTTCTAAGCTCCTCCTCCAGCAAGAACAAACAAGTTCATCAGGAAAGCCATCATGACAAGATCACCCAAGAGAACAGGTGAACCAACCATTTCCAATGGTTCCAACAGCTTCTCTAAACAGCATCCCTAAGAGTGTTACAGAAGCTTCTACTGTTCTGCCTCTTATGATGCTGACAACAATCCGCAGGTGGGTCTCTCACGCCCAGCATCATGATAGTTCAATTCAGATGGATGTAACAAGTTGACCAACAGTTAGAAATCCACTACAGGACTCAAACTGAACCAGTGTTTGCTCTTTGTGCCAGATGAACCTCCCAATTGGTGTGGGAAAACCTACATGCTCTCAGTGATGACTTTGGTGTGCCCAGGATCCAATACTGATGACTTATGACACAGACAGTTTATCTTCTCAGAATCTAATCTTGGGCAGGTGAGCAGGGATCCCCCCTACTACTGGATCACTGACTGCTTGTGTGTGCCTGTGCTGGTGAAAATGCTGCCAGGCTGCAGTCTTCTCTGTGTTTGGAAAATGAGTCAGTAAGACAAATTGTCCCAAGTATCCCAAAGTCTATCCTGTGAGGCTAGACTCTGCCACATTTCCTCGGAACCTCTAGCTATTTGAGAATTCTCAGAATGGCTGTCCCCATGATGGTCAAGGGGGGAGAATCCAGCCTTCCTTCCCTTGTTTTTAACTCTTGAGCATGTGTTTTTTTTGACCTACAAGTCTCCTTGCAAATTGATGATTTGTAAGACAGTATGTGTCCCTCCTCCTTTTCCAGTTACCTGTGTTTTAGGGTTGATCTTCTCTGAGTTTATCTTCTATTTAGCCTTGTCAAATCTCTTCCAACATTAATTTTACATATGCATTTTTATGCAAGAACCCTAAATAAAATGATAGCAAGCAGGTTTCAATGTACATTAAAATAATGTTCATGAATATATTATAGTAGTAAAATTAAAATCATATATCAAAAGTGCAAGGATGGCTTAATATTAATAATCCCACTGATATAATTTACATTAAGAGGAAAGTTAGATAATCACTGCAAAAATTAAAATAATGGCCACACGGATTATCTAATTTTTTTTGGTAATAATTGGTATGTCATGACAAGAAGTATGTATTTAGAAGACCAGAATGACAGGCATGCCAAGCGTGACCTTTCTATTACACATTGCTATCTTCAGTGAAGTTGCTTGGTTCACAGGTATCAGCATGTATAGTTAGTCAGGGTGAGAATCCTACCAATTAAATGCTAGTTTCAAAAGCCTGCTGATGTTTCTCAGGATCATTGTCTTGCCCATCTTGTGCATACAAATGTGTGGCTTTGTCCCTGTCCTGTTTCCCAGATTTTCTCCTTACCCTCTCCTCATTGACCAATCCTCAAGTTCTCACTTGCCTTTCAGTTGTGTTATATCTTTCTATTTGTATTTTTTCTTTTGAGTTCTTATACTAGGGACACTATACGATATTTACACATGTGGGTCTGGTTTATTTCACGTATGAGTATATCTTCAAGTGGCATCCACTTAAATATACATTCTTCAAGCTTATCATTCTTTTTGGCTGAGTAATACTCCATTGTATAAAAATACCATATCTTTTTCCACCATTCCTCATGCAATGGGCATCTTGGTTGTTTTCATGATTTGGCTATCACAAATTGTGCTGCTATAAACATAGGTACACATATGTCATGATGATATGACCTTTTCAGTTCCTCCGGGAAAATTCCCAGTAGGGGGATAGCTGGCTTGAATGAGATTTCTACTCCTGGTTTCTTAAGAAGTCTCCACAATGATTTCCATAATGGTTGCACCAGTGCACTCCCACCAGCAGTGGAGAAGGGTTCCCATTTCCCCACAGCCTCTCCAACATTTGTTGTTGGTTGATTTGTTTAATGATAGCCATTCTTTCTGAGGTGAGATGGTATCTCAGTATTGTTTTAATTTGCATTTCACAGATGGCTAGTGATGTGGAGCATTTTTTGATATATTTATTTGCTTCTTTAATTTAATCCTCTGAGAAGTGTGTGTTCATCTCAAATGCCCATTTCTGGATTGGTTCTTTAAATATAAGGGCTCTAATGTATTTTAGTTCTTTATAAATTCTAGAGAGCCGACCTTTGTCTGAGTGTTTACTAGTTAAGATTTTTTTTCAAAATTTGTAGGTTGTCTTTTCACTTTGTTGGTGACATGCAAAAAATTCTCAATAAGAGGTGGTCCAAGTTGTTAATTCTTTTAAGTGTCACTCTTGAGATTTGATTTTTGTTCATGAGCTCTTTGCCTACTCTTATGTCTTCAAGAATTCCACCTACTTTCATTTCCAGGAGATTTTGGTTTCTGTTTTAATGTTTAGATCTTTAATCCATTTTGACTCTAGCTCACTGTATGGTGATAGACCTGGGTGAAGTTTTAGTTTTTGGCATGTAGAGTCCAGTTTTTCCAGCATCATTTGTAAAAGAGGGTATCTTTCTTCCAGTAAGCATGTTTTGGCTACACCACCATTTTCTGTGGTGCTATTGTAAAATATTTTGTTTCTCTAATTTCACTTTCAGTTTATTTGTTATCTGTGTAGAGGAATGCTATTGACTTTTAAGTATTGACTTTTTTTCCTGCTATGCTACTGAATTTGTATATCAATTCTAGTAGCTTCTTGGTGGAGTTTTTTGTGTCTTCCAAGTAAAGTATCATGTCATCCACAAATAATGATACTTTAACGTCTTCTTTACAGATTCTTATTCTTTTATTTCTCCCTCTTTTCTAATGGCTCTAGGTAATGATTCCAGAACTATATTGAACAGTAGGGGTGATAGAGGACATCCTTGTCTTTTATGAGATCTGAGAATAAAACATTTCAGTTTTTCCCCATTTAGAATTATATTAGTCATTGGGTTGTCATAGATGGCTTTTATCAAATTGAAGTAAGGCCTTCTATTCCAATTTTCTGTAGGACTTTGAACATGAATGAGTGTTGGACTTTGTCAAAAGTCTTTTCTGCACCAATTGAGGTAATAATGTGGTTTTTACATTTCACTCTATTAATATAGTGTATGACATTTATAGATTTTTGAATATTGAACCATCTTTACATCCCTGGGATGAATCCTACCTGGTCATGGTGTATGATCTTCTTGATGATTTGCTGTATTGTATTTGTTAGGGTTTTATTGAGGTTTTTGCATCTATGTTCATGAGGGAGATTGGCCTGTAGTTCTCTTTTTCAGTTTTGTCTTTCCCTGGTTTTGGAATCAGTATAATACTTGCCCTGAAGAATGATTTTGGGAGGATTGCATCCTTTTAAATTTCATTGAAGAGTTTGAGGAGTGTACGTGTTACCTCTTCTATAAATTTCTTGTAGAATTCAGCCATGAATCCATCAGGACCTGGACTTTTCTTTGACAGCAGGTTTTTTTATTACATTTCATATTTCATTGGCTGTTACTGGGTTATTGAGAGTTGTTATATCTTCTTGAATCAGTTTTTGTATTTTGCACCTTTCTAGGAATCTGTTCATTTCATCTGTGTATTCTATTTGTGAAAGTAAAGATTCTCAAAGTAGCTATTGATAATCTTCTGAATTTCCACTGGGTCTGTGGTGAATACACCCTTTTCATTCCTTATTGCTTGTATTTGAATTTTCTTTTTCCTCTTTTTGATGAGGTTTGCTAGGAGCTTATCAATTTTATTTAGTCTTTCAAATTAATGAATCAGCTTTTTGCTTTGTTAATTCTTTTAACTGTTTTCTTCGTTTCAATTGAATTAATTTCTGCTCTAATCTTTATGATATCTTCCAGTCTTTGGACTCTGGGTTTGGTTTGCTCTTCCTTTTCTAGTTGTTGAAGATGCAGCATTAGGGTATTTATTTGTTTCCGTTTTGTTTTCCTAATGTGTAAGTTCATAGCTATGAATTTCCCTCTGAGAACTGCTTTCTTCTCATCCCATAAATTCCGATAAGTTGTGGTTGAATTTTCATTGAATTGTAGATATTGTTGAATTTCTTGTTTAATTTCATCTGTGACCCATTGATTGCTGAGTAGAGTGTTGTTTAATTTCTATGTATTTGGGAGGTTTTTCTAGTTTCTTTTGTCACTTATTTCCAGTTTCATTGCACTATGGTCAGATAATATGCGTGGGATCATTTCTGTTTTCTTGCATATACTTAAGCATGACCTATGGACTAATGTGCGATCTATTTTAGAAAATGATCTATGTGCAGCTGAAAAGAATATGTATTCAGCTGTCATTGGGTGGAACACTCTGCATCTGTCCACCAAATCAATTTCTTCCAAGTTCTGGTTCAGTTCTGCTACTTCTTTGCTAATTTTTTTGGTCTGGTTGACCTATCTTTTTGAGATAAGGGGGTGGTAAGGTCTCCTGTTAAGATTGTGGTCTTGAATATTAGATTTGTTATGTCCATTAAAATTTGTCTTATATAGTTGGGTGCTCCCATGTTTGGTGCATAGATATTTATGAGTGTTACCTCTTCCTCTTGAATTTTTACACTAACCAGATTATAATGACTTTCTTTATTTTGTTTGATCATTCTTGGTTTGAAGTTGAGACTGTCTGAAAACAGGATTGCTACTCCTGCTTTTTTCTGAGCTTCTGGGGCATGTAGTATTGTTTTCCACCCTTTGACTTAAATCCTATGAATGTCTTTTTTAGTTAAGTGTGTTTCTTGTATACAGCATATTGTTGAATTTTGTTTCCTAATCCACTGTGCCAGTCTATTTCTCTTAACTGGTGAATTGAGTTCACTTACATTGATGGTTATAATTGAGATGTATTGACTTATGATTGACATGTTATTTACCTGCTGTTGTGTGCTCCCAAATTTGCATGTCATCATTGCGCAGGGGCCATGCTAATCTACTCTGTGTCATTCCAAGTTTAGTATATGTGCTGCTGAAGCGAGCACTGACTATCTAATTTTTTTACAAAAGTAAGCTAAAGCATAATGCTATGAACTTCCATGAAGTAATAAACATACACATGTAGAAAAAGCATATTAATTGAAAAGTACTTAATTAACTTCTGGAAATAATAACTGCTTAATTTTCCCTGTGTAAAAGAAAATATTGAACATTGATTTATGAAAGCTTAGAGACTGTAGGCTGATCTAGAATGGGCTCACCTATTCTTTTCTCCAATTGATAAGGGTATATTTACAAAGTTCTATACTTCTGAAAACATATCAATCAGATTATTTTTTATTAATATCATATATGCTAAAATAATCAATAATATGTATATGCTAAAAGAGCTATTATTTCTGAGACAACTATGGTAAATTCTTTAGAATTACCCCAGTAAAGGTCTTCCATTAAAAGGTAGCTTTAAAAATTACAAAAGTCTCAGGTAATTTCAAACTAGGCCCACATAAAAAATAAATTCTTATAAGCAATGTTTAACAGATACCTTTTATGCTAGAGAAGATTTAGGTCTCAATCACAAAGGCTATATTCAAATAAAAATTGTGACTGTAGTACAATGTAGCACATTTACACTTATTCTTGAATTAAAATATTAAGCTTAAGGCATAAATGCATCATTTTAATAATTCTAAGTTTTGAACTGCTTTTTAAATTAACCTACAAACTAGTGATTCTAAAAAATAAAAACAATGTTAGGCATTTCATGAAATATGGTAGAACATTAAATTATACCCATTAAAGTTCAGAGAAAGATAATAGTTATAATGAGTATATTTAAATAAAGAATGGAGATATGAAGATGAGAACCAATAGGCAACACTGCACCAAGCAGTCCTACACCGGCCATGAGCATGCTCAACACAAGCAAGTAGCTTGCACCGGCCATGCAGCACAATCCCGCATCAGCTCCAAGCTAGCTGCACATTTTCCTTTGCCTTGGTGTGGGGCAGCAGAGACACAGACTAATAAGCTGACCTGATTATGGCTGAGGATAACACCCAAGGAGGGGAAGTAAGCCTGGAAACCCAGGAGAGCCAAGGGGAAAGTAGACGCAGCCGGGAACTTTAGGGACTCTAGGGCTATCCTCCCAAAGTGACTGAGGGAGGGATGACTCCAGGAGAGCAGCACTGACAGGGAGTGAGCCAAACATAGATTCTCCTGAGAAGTGTAAGCTCAGGCTGGGGGAGACACAGGCTTTACCCTCCAAAGGGAGCAACCACAGTGTGTGTGTGTGTGTGTGTGTGTGTGTGTGTGTGTGTGTGTGTTGAATTTAAGTCCGCCAGTCCATCTGAATCCCCAACCTGCTGCTTACACTCAACAGAGATGAGAGGGCTAATTGGATTCCTCATCTACTAGTGAGAAAGGATACATTTTGGCTTGGATGGTAACCACAGTCTGGGGTGAACAGACAGAGGGGCCTCTGGTGCCTTAAAGACCCACAGGCCCTAAAGCTAGGGAAAGCACCATGGCTGGCTGGACTCTAGGACTGCAGATCCTAGAAACAAAGGCTTGCTCAAAAACAAGAAGTTGTCCAGGGGATATAGCTCAGCCACACAAGCCCCTGACTGGCAAGCCCAAGGTCCTGAATTTGATCCCTGGTACCAAAAAATAAATAAAAGGAAGTTTTTCTTTAACTCAATCTCCTAAAAAAATTTTTTTCTTCTCTTTCTTTCCTTTAGGTTTTTGGAGAGTTAGAGTTTTTTTGTCTCTCTGTTTTGACATTTTTAGTTTCTTTTTTTCTCCTTTTCTCTTATCCCTGATAACATCTCTTTTGGTTCCATCTTATCTTTCTTTAATTTCTTATTTTGCTCTCTGGGTTTGGAGATCTGTGTTTTCTTTTTCTCTTCCTTTTCTTGTGCAACCTTTGCTGTGACAGCTTTCTGCCATTGTTGATTTCCCTTTACTCCTCAACAGGACCCCTCCCCGTCTTTGTTTTCATTCTTGCTATATCACACTGATTTATATTTTAAATTTTACTTTTATCACTCTCCATTTGCCCACCCTACACCTGCTAAAATTTATGACTTTTGACAGAGCTGGCTAACTTTGCTATTACTGTTAAATGCTGTAAATAGAGGAATAACATTCCATTTAATAGATATTTACAGTGGGTCAAAATTTGATTTGTCTTAATGTTCACAATACATTTACAGATTTATTTTTGTGATTAAGGGTAGTATGTTACTGACCCTTAGGATTTATCAATGTTCAGTCCATCTTTGGCACTAAGCTAAATGTTCATTTTATTACTATAGCCCAGGGGACAAAGTTATTGTTATTAATTGGTTTTCTTGGGATGGTAATATCTGGATTTTTGGAGTCATTAACAATGCTTCATTTTATTCCTGAAGAACTGCATAATAAACCAAATACACTGCAACTCCTCATTCCAGGTAAATGGGGGTGGTTGGATCCTGAGACAGGGGCAAAGGCCAAATGTCAGCTATGCCTAAAGGACAGCACTGAAAAGTAGGTATCAACTGAAGAGGTCTCCAGACCAGAAAAGCTTTCTACTGTAATAAACCCATAAGCCTCAACACATACACACACACACACACACACACACACACACACCTGGGAAGATGATACAATAAATTCTCTACTCCCCCAGCGCTGAATCATTGGCCATTGAGGACAAAAAGCCACACATTCAAATTATTCAAAATAATATCAGAAGAGATGACAAAGCAGATCAATACGGCAATTGGCAAGTTCACAGAAGATACAAACAGAAAATGGGATAAATAAACCATCAGTGACTCTACAGAAGACACTAATAAAAATCTAGCAGAGCTAAATAAATTCATGCAAACATGAAAAATTATCTAGAAAAAATTTAGAGTCTGTAAATGGCTCCAAAGAGAGATTCAGAAGATTAAAAATTCTTTAAAAAGTATGGGCAACAGAAGTGATCAATGTGAGGAGTGTCAGACAAGGCTGTTGTTGATGACCATTGAAAAAGACATAAAAACAAGAGAACGTGAAAATGGATCTAACACCTCCTAAGTAACATAAAGGAAACCAATCTAAGAATGATTTTTTTTATTTTGCAATTTTATGAATGGGTTTTTGCATTAACAGGAAGATCTTAATTTTTTTACAGTTTCAACAAATAATACACTGCATATATTCTTCTTAGTGGTTAATTGCTGTACAAGATGTGGACT